ATAATTCTGGAAGAGTACAAAGATTTAGCCCCAAAACTAATAGAAGACAGTTTAAATAGCCCAAGTTTTAATATTTAAAAATAAATTACCATGAAATATTAAGTAGCCAGTAAAAATAATGTGTTAGAAGTCTATGTAATAACATGGAAAAATAATCATAGCATATTATTGAAAACACAACTTGAAAAATAGCATATCTTGCATGATTATATTAGGGAGAATTATATACTTTTATGTGTTGCTGAGAATATTATGTAAATGTATAGAAATGTGTGGTAACAGAAAATGGACTAGGACAGAAGCTAAAGCTCACAATTTAAAGATGTCTAACAGATCTTAAAGAAGCTTGTCTCTAGATTAACTGAAAAGAATCTTCGCACTTTTCATAAGCACTAGCTGCTAATTGCTTCAAGGTAATGCAGCCAAAAACTAGAGGTCAAGATGCCTCTACACTGACTGAGGGCTGTCTGCAGACGTAAATCAGGCACTAAAGGAGCAAACCTTCACAGGACTATAAAAGCCATCATGGAAGGAGGGTTCACAGTTCTGCCAAAAATGTGCCCTCATTGGAACAGGATACCTGTCCAACTGGATCATGAGTCTATTTCAGCCCAGTAATTATAGAAACAAGATTTGGTTGAAAACATGAAACACTAGTGTTCCCATTTAAAATGAATTATATTGAAGTTAGTTTTATTAGCATTGCCTAGAAAATCACTGCATACCTTTGTACGTTATTAACTGAAAATGCACAAGTCTCTAGCATAATTGCTAACATGCCAGAGACTAAAAATGTGGGCCAATAGGTAAAGTGACTACATAATTTACTTCCAAGATTTGAAAGACTTATGTTTTAATGGGATCTTATCTTAAATAATGAAATTCATGTTGTGCACTTAAAACCCAAATCTGAAATGACTGAAAAATAGGTCACTTAATAGAGTGGGCTCTGAAATATGCTCGAGACTCACGGATTTGACCAATTCCCAAGAGGAAAGAAATATGTATGATGACAGGACAAGATTGCTAGATGATTATTGTGCCAAAATTGTATTAGAATCCACTGTTAGGAAAAAAAAGAGAAAAGGAAGAGAACAGGTTCCCATGGCAGATTTCCATTTCATATGTTCTTACATATACTTTTGAAACAACTCCTGAGCATGAGGTTCATTTGCTTTACTTCACCTTGTTCCAGAAGCAAATTCCAGCAACTTACAAAATCACATAAATTAAAACCCCAAGTAAAATAAGAAAGAAATAAGGGTGGAGATGAAAAATAAATCCAAGAATGATATAAAAAAGGCATATCACAAAGACTCAATATTAGTGGGGGTTGCATTTAGCTCTGTTTTTCTAGAAATCTACAGAGAAAGAGAAATATACTTACAATGTCACAAAATAAGCACAAATTCTCAGAAAAAAATGCCTCAAAGCATCTAGGAGTTTTCCAGCATTCTTATGAAGAAAATGTTAAATAATTTAATAGACCATGTCAAACAATACTCTTGCTATGTATAAGCATTTTATGGTTGGTTCTTAGAGTGGACTTCAATGTAGGTACTATATAAAAAGTAATAACATAGCAAGATCTAATAGATAATTTAAAAGGACTGAGATTTTTTCCTATGAGAAAACTAGCATTCACTATGCATAGATCCTGGCCTGAGACACTAGACTCCTGGATTAAAGATAAAGGACAGTTTAATACAAAGATATCAGTGGCCGGAATACTGACATTTGCATCCATACCAAATATCCTAGCTCCTACAGGGCAACACTAAGAAGTACAGGTGATACTTGCATATGTCATGGCTTGTATTAAAGAAAAGAACACCAAGCCTAGAAACCATGAATCTTTTATGATGGAAGTGACCTAGAATGTAGTTGTTGGAAAAAATTTCTCTATATAATCTTTGCCCTGGGAAAATGCATTATTTTTGTTATATGAATTATCAAATAAAGTTCTGTTCTTCAAAGTTATTTGCAGTACAACTATTCTTGAGGATATCATCTAGAACTTAGGGAATCTGCGCCTCTGTTCATAAGGTGGTACAGAAATATTAGGGACTCGTAGAGAAATTTTTTCCAACAACTACATTCTAGGTCAGGCTCAAGCTGATTTTGGGGATTAATCTAAGACAAATTTTTAGATTGCTTGCAGGAACTGATGGATTGGGTCTCCTTTGGTACTCATCCCTCATATACTTATGGCATTCTTATATTCTTGACAATAGCAGTGGTAAGCAAATGAGGCATAGTCCTCTTGACAAAGGATTACAGATACATACAAATATATTTTAGGTGGTTTTCAAGAAGTTCTCTAAATGTTTTTTCAAGTTTTTTCACAAGTGTTGGTGTCAAGTCATTCAGTAGTCTGAATCCCACAAGTATGTGGAGCTTAGTATTTCCAAATAAATGGGACACTGTGCCCACAAAAATATTCAAACAAGGCTAAGGATGGCTTTCTCTAGCAAAACTGAGAAACTTAGCAGGGGTGAATGAATTATTCTGCAGTCATCATCTCCAATACACTCTTGGTCAGTGGTCAGTTTGTTCTTGAGACTATTACAAAATCCTCCAGTGACTATTTGAACAAAACACTGAAGATTTATTCCATCGAAGAAGGCATTTATATTTCTTCTAGGGCATTCATATGCCTCTTGTCTGGGTTGGGACTCTGATCTAAGAGAGGACATCTTGTACCTTGAGAAAGTGAAATATCCTCTCTGAGTTGATCTCTTTCCTCAAGCCATTACATCTCCCTGGCATGAGGAGAACTTTAATAGTACCATGGTCTCCTGTGGATGCTCATTTGTCCTAATGGATAAGGTAAACAATATCTTTTCTTGACAGCATTATTAAGGTTTTGCCTTCATTTAGTTAGCTTGCATTTGGTTCCAAACTACAAATAACAATTGCTAATATCATCTGCTGCCATGCAGAGGCTGATTCCTGAATTCCATTACCTAACTCTCACAGCAGCCTTTCACAGTTTTGAAGAACTCGCCTTCCTTTCTATAATTCTGCTGGATTTGTTCCCTCCGAAAACCTGCTGTTTCCTAACACTGTGGCCTCCCTGGTTTAATTTGATGGTAATGGCACATAGAAGCAGAACCCGCAGAGCTAGCTGGATGACTGTCCAAGCTTGGGTTGGAGGGAGCTGCCTATCCAAGTAGAAAATCAGAAATGAAAAAGACCCAGTCCCTTCCATAGCCAGTGCCAGAACATTCCTATGGTGAGAGCAGAGTCCAGGCCAGCTCTAAATGACTTTAACAATGTGCCTCCTAACACTTTATTTGGAATACAGGTTGTCTCTTCATTTTTTTTTTTCTTTTGGTAAATTTTCTACCTAGAATTTTATTTGACCAGTATTATTCCACTTCTCTCTTATTGGTTCTAGTTCAGCCATGGCAATCCTGTGAAAAAAAAACAATTTTCAAAGTCAGTATAATGTATAAACAACACTGAAAGCACTTTATTAACCAGCCATTCCAGCAGTGTGCCTAAATTGGGGGCAGTGTGATGCAGGTAGAGGGCTCATGCATGGAGGGTAAAGATGTAGACACATTGAGTTGGAATCTTATTTTATTTCATTGAGGGCTTTACTATTGTTTTCATTTACTTTTGTTTTCAGCATCTTCCATGTAATAAATTTTTCCAGTATGTCAGACGAAATACTTTCTAAAATTTATACTGGCAAATTTGTGAAACTGGCACTATCATCTCTATTTAAAAATTTAAAATTTAGTAATTCAGAGTAGAAGTTCTGGGTTTACATAGCCAGTTAGAGTCCCAGCTCTATTGCTTACTTTTTAAAATTAATTTTACTGAGAAACAAATAGCAATGAGACTGTTTCAAAAAAGATTAGTAGGACAGTTACAACAATGAATACATTGCATATTGTTGTCTTCATAGTGGTTATTCATAGTACAAGATGCAAACATGATATCCTGCCCAAACACTATTAGTACAAATCATTCTTCTCATTCAATTAAGAGAAAGTAGCTGTATATCTATCTTAACTATTTTGTATATAGAGATACAAATAGCAATGTGACCTTGGACATTTGATTTGACTTCTCTGTGCTCTGTCTCTCTACTTGTACCATGAGATGTAGGACAATGCCTTGCTCATGTCATTCTGAAAAATAAACATTGTACTATGTGTAAACTAACAAGATCCATAGCTGATGCAGAGCAGACACTAAAATGAAGTCAGTGAATAATGAAGAGGTTTGTTCAAGGACACCTTGCTAGTAAGTAAAATCAAAGTTTAAAACTCAATTTGTTCTATTTCAAACCTCCATTATTAGGCACTAGAGTTTACTAGGTTGGTCAGCACACTTAACTTTTTTTAGCCTCAGTTTTTCTCACTGATAAAATGGGAGTAACACCATAGCACCTGCACAAAAAACACATCAGATGCTGTGGTAGGGCCCCACCTAGATCAGGGCTCAAGTGACAAGAGGGCTATCTCTTTGTCTGTACATCCACATCATATGCATATATTTTCCATGCATGCCTAGGACTTAATCTTAAATGATCATAATGTTGGAGCTGTGCCATAGTTCAAAGTATATTTTTTTTGAGTTTGCTCCCATTTACAAGAACTGGAGTGGTTTACTAGATAATTTAAAAATTTCCTTCCTACTAAGGTTTCATTTTATGTTCTTAATGGTCTGATGGTTTCAAGTTTGTATTTTACAGTTTCTTTAAAACAGCTCTTCAAACGTTTCAAAAGTGCCTGCTTTTTCTTTTATAATATAGACTGGCCATAATTTCAGTCTTTATGTAGTAGAAGAAAGAAAAGAGATAGTTGCAACTTGACAGAGGGAAATGTGATGATATGTTTTGGCTGTTGTGCATGTGTGTGTGTGTGTCTGAGTGTGTGTGGGTTTGTGTGTGTATGTGGGAAAGGGTGTGATGTCATCTTGTCTCCACCCCCTGTGAGTAAGCCCACAGCACAGCGAAGTGCAGCCGCCCGCCTCTGTCCCTGGAAGACAGTCCACTTAAATGCAGCTCCAGGGTTGCGAGACACCCACCAGCATCTCTCCCCGTGTGAGGTGGCAAATGCAACATGCTCTCCAGCTTGGGGTGTCTACTTCTCTGTGGGAGTATTGCACTTGCCCTGGGAAATGCACAGAAATTGCCAAAAGGCAAGTAGCCTTCATGTTTATGTTTTAAAACTAATTTTAAGAGATACTTGTTGTTAACTGTTGATATTAAATATACTTTGTTTAACCATGTGGGGGAATAGGGTTAATCTGTAGAAATTCAAAGTTCAAATGTGTGAAGGGATTGCTTAAGCTTTCCCCCCTACCCTGTTATTGGCTTTTAAATTTTAGCTCTTTACTGCAGAAATGAAAACCAATTTCTATGTTCATAGGAACTTGAAAATAATATAGTGTAAAAGGACACTGTTGTTTGTTAAAAAGTTATTTGATATTTTATCCCCCATACTTAAAGACTAAACTAGGACCAGAGTTATGAAAGGGTTAAAGGAAGCTGATTCCAAAACCTGGAATCCTTGTCCCACACCTCACACCTACCTGTGAGTGGGAGACTGAGGAGCTGAGACAGGTCAGACCAACGTTGGGTCAGAGTTGAGCAGCAGACGCTGTGGAGTTCCAAAGAGCCTTCATCTGCTGAGAGGACACTCCCCCTCCAACCGGCCAAATTTCTTAGTTTAGTGTTGGTATTTTGTTTATAAATGTCATTAGAAGAAAACGAGAATTGCTAAACTTAAATCCTAAAACAATCTCCTTGAGATCATCAGCTTTAAAACAAGAAGCTCTTGCCTTTCTCCTACCTTTAAAAGTAAATGTTACAAAGACTTTTGTTTCTTTGCAGAGATACTTTTCTAAGCCAACTCTAGGTCTGTGAAGGCTTTTTATGGCTGCAGACTGCTGCAGTAATCAGGGTTATGAAAAACAGGCTGGAATTTACCATACAGTTATGATGGAAAATATTGGAGGAAGTAGAGACACAAGCTTGTCAGAAACCTACTGTGCATTGAGTCTGGAGAAAAGTTGCTAGTGTCTAAATAGTGAAAAGGTCTCTGGTAGCTCCTCTCTTGATAATTCACTTCAGGATCACATGTCTCAAGTAAAAGCTGTTCTTTCTTTACTGGGTAAAGTGAAAGTTAAAATCCAAAATGTGAGAGCTGAATCATTTGGCTAGATGACATTTCACATGATGATGTGAAAAGCAATAAAAAAAGGTTAAGTAAACTTCTCAACTTTACTCAAATAATCATGCAAAGAAAAAGAAAAAACAAACACTGTTACATTTTTTTCCTTCCACAAAGAATTTTCTTGATTATACTAAAGTGACTTAAATAAATTGTGAGCCACAGGCATTCAGAATTAGTTGTTCATGCTGATGAAATATTTAACAATAACCTACTATTTGAGAGAAGTCTGGGGTGTTGCTCAGTTTCAATACCTGTAGATGATTTTATTTTGCTTTGTATTCACTGTTTATGGGATAAAAGCCAAATTTTGATTAGTGCAAACTTCTGCAAATTCCAAGTGCCTTAATTATCATGTTGCAATCACTGAAAACCAATGTCTCAACACAGTTTTTCTGCTTTTTTGTAATGATAAAGAAAAACAACCATGTAGTTGTCAAAAATGGCCATAAATTGTGTTTACCTCATTTAGCTTTGATCTGAAGTGTTCCATCTCTGCTTCTTTTGTAGATTTAAAAAGTATCCATAGTTCTGGTAATTTGAAAAAAAGTTAAATTATAATAACTATTTAATTGAATGGCAAGACCCATTGTGTTTAATGGTACATTTTCTCTTTATTATGGAAGATAGTGGAAAACTTTCTTTTAGCTTAAATTACCTTTCTCAAACTATGTCCCAAGAACTAGGTGCACTGTACTACTGTGGTGCTTGGGTAGAGGTGATGAACAACTTCTTTTGTCAATACTTTTGGGAACATCTGATAGCTTTGTTCTGGGAGCAGATTCACGATGTACATTAGCATTTCACAGGTTCTGAATATTTCTCAGCAATGAAAACTTCAGTCTGCTAACTCATTCTCATTGAGGATCTCCCTGTTCTGTCTAGAAAAATTGCAACATCTTACTAGGGATTTGTGTGTCACAGAACAGATTTGAAGAAATGCTGAGATTAAAAAAAGGAGAAAAGGGATAAAAGTGCTTTTTTTCTACCTTCTAACTTTAAAGTTAGTTAAAAACTATTTGCCATTTCAAAAGACGATAGACTTTTGATCACCTAGTCTAGTGCTTCCAAAAATTTTGGACTTGTAGACTAAAAACACATGTGTAGTTTAATATAAGGATTCCACTATAGGGGGTCATACCTGAATTTTGTCATGTGAGGATGCTTAAAGTGATGGGAAAACCTGGTAGTTCATAAGAGCAAGCCATTTTAATAGATTTGTAAAATAAATGAGTTAAACTATGCCAAGAAGTTCCTTGTCCTTTTTTTTTTTTATTTTGTCACAGATAGATAAAAACTCCAGCACATGCCAATATTTGGAAACTACTGGCCTAGCTTAAATATTTATTCTACAACTGAAGACACCCAAGGGAAGGGGAAATTTACTAATTTTCCCCTGTTAATGGTATAGCCAGATCTGAATCCAGGCTTTGGATTCAAAATCCATGTTTATCTGATTTTCTATTCTACTTGGTAAGCAGACTCACCTGACCCAAACCTCAGGAATCACATTTTGTAGGATAGGTGAGAATGCTATATCCTTCCCTTAAATAGAGTTGTTTATCTAACAGTTTCTAATGATCACCTTAATTTTTATATTGTCCTAAGTAAATGTTCACATCTTATATACTTAAATTTGATTGCAATAAATCTCTTGTAATAGGCTGTATGCCTATTTGTATACTGTGCCACATGCTTTATACAAAATAAGTTACAAGATTCTTGTTTTTTAAAAGCTTAAAGGAGACTATTATTAATGTTACTTTTCTCCTATTCATCACTTTTTATAGCTTTTCCTTCTTTTTTTGAGGCACAGTTTCACTATGCAGTTCAGGCAGGACTTGAATTCATTTTGTAGCCCAGGCTGGTCTCAAACTCACAGCGATCCACCTGCTTCAGCCTCCCAAGTGCTGAGATTACAGGTGTGCACCACCATGCTCTTTACTCCTTAATGACTCCTTAATAATGGAAAATTACTTACCCTTTAAAGCCTACCTTTCTCATCTACAAAATGGGCAAAATGGTATCTATCTTAAGGTAACATATTTTAGAATTAAATGAAATAAGAGATGCAAAGCTTTTAGTAGATGGTTGGATGCATTAACAGACAGTCAATAAATATTTATTGGATCACAGAAAAGTGGCTCAATGTTGAAAGTGATACACACCAAATAACATATGATATGTTATGCAAACTGTGAAACAGCTCTCTTGAGAGACAGCCCAGATGGTGGCAATGTTCTTGGTGAGAAGGTGGGATGAGATTGTTAAGTGTGGCTCTGTGTGACACTGAGGGGAGATGTCTTCAGTTTTCCAGCCTGACCCCTATATTCCCACATAGGCAGACATTACTTTCCCTGGAAAGTTTAGTTTTTGCCTTAGGGTCACTTTTTCTGTGAGGATTTGTAAGGCTCTGTGGCTCTTCTAGGTGAGATCTATTTGAACTTGTCTTTCAGGAGGAAAACTAGACACAAATATGCAGTCCCTCGAAAAAAAATTGCATTGCTTTATACCTTGGGAAGCCCCTGTGCTCCAGCTACCTTGTGGAATCTTTATTCTTGGCACCACAGAATTTTCTTCTTCCCTGGCATTCATGATAAAACAAAAGCCACAGAACAATATGGAGGAAGGAAGACAACAAAATCTTATATTTAGACCTGAGACTTTTCATGCTTCTATACTGAAATTCTGTATGACAACTTTTATTGTAATTAGCTTGAAAGCAAAGGATATTTAAACTAGGCAAGTCTATCACTTCCAAAGCATGTGTAAAGAAAACCTCAGAGCAGCTGCCAAGACACCAACATACTCATATGGCCAGAAGGCATGGAGATCGTAGGGGTGGTTCTTGGCGTAGGGCCCAGGGAATGGAAGGCTGGCTTTTGGCCTAGAATTTTTATCTAAAAGACCATCAATCCCTGATTCCAGACTCAAAAACAAAACAAAAACAAAAGCAAAAACCACATGGACAAATGATATAATAGTAACTATCATGGCTATCAATTATTACCATTACTGTTTTCATAGACAATGTTCTCTGGCACATACTGTATGTGGTGTATTAGTGCTACCTATTTTTAATGTGGAAAATTACTTAAGCTCTCCAAGTACCGGTATAAAGCAGTTATCCTATTTCTCCAATTTTATACTGATAGGTCTGACTCCTACCTTCTACCTCTGCCCCAAGACTCTTGATTTCCTAGAGTGGCTGATTCACAGCAGTCCGAGCCAGGGAGCAGTGCCCACTCTGATAGGACAGGATGCACCAGCCCTGCCTGGAAGGTCACAGTGATGGCTTTTGTGGCCACATACCCAACCATTCTTGATCCCCCAATCTCATGACCCTCTTCAGGTCATCTCACCGAAGCCTATCTCTCTAACCCTCTAACCTATCCATAAAAGACCCAGCTCAATAAACAGGACATGGACTTTCCTTTGGAGTCCCCCAGGGATCCCACATGGAACCCCAAATTCAGACTGGCTATGTTCTTTTACAAGGCCATCGCTGTTTACCTGACATATATGGCATTCCATTGTGATTCCAGGTGATAAGTGATCTGCCCAAATCACATGGCCAGGGTAGCAAAAGCTCCTACCCTTAATTTTGATATAACATCAGTAACCTGCTCTACAAAAGATGTATTACTTTGTTTAACAGATCAGTGTGGCACTTTGATACCCCAGTCCTTTTCTCCAAAGGTAGCTACTTCTTGTGAGGGACTGAGGAACAGTCCCTTGCATTTTAAGGCAGGAAAATTGGGACAATAATAGTGGGAGATGCAAAGTCTGTGGATGGAGTTTGAATTTTATTAGAATAATGTATACTTATGTATTGCTAGTACTTTATTAAAGAGTACACTAGAAGAAATGGTTCCACTGCTTAAAAATCTTCAGAAGACCACAAAAGAATTATTTTAGCATCTTTTATAGTTTTATAGTTTCCTGGCAGATTTATTGATGTGTTTC